GTCTCTGTCATTTATTATTATAAAAACTAATATATTTTTAAATTATACAAACTAAATATAAAGTTCAAAAAATTTATAGAGATAAGAAAATAATTATAAATTATAAACTTATCCAACCCCAAGCGTGTGGTTCAGCGGTAGGGGTTGATCCACGCTTAAGCAAGGTCAGAGGTTCGAATCTTGTCTTGTGTATGCAGTCGCGTTAAATCTAATACAACTGTCCTCTTTAAAAATATGAACTACTTGTTTTTTTTTTTTTTTTTATATAGAAAGATTTATTTATTTTATTATTTTACGGAAAGTAGGAAGTGTTTTTTTCTTTTTGTTTGGCAGTTAATATATATATAAGGCAATTGGAAAAAGAATTGCTTCTTAATGCGTCCATTAAAGAACGTGGACGATGGATGATATATAATGCCCATAATCAATTGTTGACGTACGCTAACCTTGCTTTTTATGAAAAGAAAAACAGTGAAAAAGTGTTAACTGGAAGACAGTTACTTCCACAGTAGATATATATAGCAGCCAAAGGCAGCAAATATGATGTGGAACACATGTAGCATAAAGAAAAAGCTTGTCCACTATCCAAAACAAAATTGCCTCCTTTTGTGCTTATAGTATAATAGTGTACTTGATTGTTTATATATACTTGGACGTTGGACCTATGAGGCTCCATCACCCACTTATACATCTTGGATTATTGCATTCTTTTAGTACACTTTTTAATTATCAAGTAGTTCAACATTTTGGATATCATATACACAATAGATGTCACTATTTTAAAGATAATTAACATTTCAATATCATCATCCATTGTTAACCATTTGTCACACATCTAACTTAATTTGATATGAGAGATTTATCTTAATTAATAAGTTTTTAATATTTGAATCTCAATTCTTATAAATATAGTATCATTTTAGACTCATGATCAATTTATTTCTTATACAGTGATGAATCGACTTAACTAATCATTTTAATAATGATCAACTCATAATAAATTTATATTTTTTTGAACTTATGAATTTGACTCATAAGATTACAAAATAATATACTTATCATTAAAAATATTAATTTAAATAGACTAAAAAAATATAATTTATACCATAATAAACGATTTTATGAAGAGATAAAATAAATAAGTTAAATGATAACGACATGCCCAATTTAATAGGATTAAAAGATATAACCCAACTATTTTATAAAGACTTAGACTAAGAAGAGAAAATTAATTTTCTATTGATAATCTCACTATGACATTTTGGATATGACTATCACATATTTTATATCAGAACAATTACATAAAACTTAAATTGAGAAATGTTCACTTATTTAATATCTATCTAACTTTTAAGAAAGATTAATTTTGTGTTTGATAGAAAAATACTCATTAATAATGAAAAAAAAACCTATGAAATATATTTAACAATTAGTGCTACAAATTAATATTAATATATTATCCTTATATATACATAAACAAATTATAGTTTCATGAGGTGTGTAATTACACTACGAACTTATATACAAAAATTATGCAAGACTCGCAAGTTACAATAAGAACCTCTAACACTTGTGGGAGATCACATACTGTCATCATCAATGGTATTTCAAACATTGTCGTTGTGTGAAATCTGTGGTAAATCACTTAGTAATTGCTTATTAGATGTCGTATCTTCTGTTATTGTGACTGTAAAATAGGCATCGTATTTTTTAGTTGCTACAAGTATTCTTTAGCCTATTGTATTTGTATATGGGTTAGAGTACCCCTTGTATTCCTTTTTAATAAATCTTTTTTGCTTAAAAAAAAAAAACAATAAGAACCTCCAACTTTAACAAACAAAATAAATAAATAAGATATTAATTAAAATGGTAATATAAGGATAAAATTCTAACAAAATAGTTTAATGAATGACCAAGTAAAAACCCAGTCATATCCAAACAATATTTGAATAAATAAAAAACTTAAATATAATTATAATTGCATTATAAATTTTCCAAAACCCGTATTTACACTAGGAGTAAGTCGACAAATTTGCATTACAAACAAATCCATAAATATTATTATTGTCTGTTTAGACATGTACCAAAAATTCACTGTGTTCTAATTCTATTTAAGCCACTTTTTACTATATTTTAAATAGATATTATATTTCCTTACCATGTTATTACCAAAGTGTTATCTCATTAATCATTGTGAGTCTTTATATAATGAATCAACCAAAGCAACATGTCATGAATCCATGTCAGTAATAATTTTATATTATCGATAAATGATCAACTAAAAATCAATTAATGAAATAACTAAAATTGTGTAATTTTAAAATATAAATGATTAAAATAAAAAATTATAATAAACCAAAAGTGTTATTAACTTTATTACTATCATGTTTATAAAATTCAAACTCAAATTATTTAAATACTTAAATATAACTTCGGATTTGAACTTATCTCTAACTAGAAATAAGCACAATTATTACAAATTTAAATATCTCACACGAGTACCTTAATTCATTATTAATCTATTAAATATTATAACAACTCAGTTTCCACTTTCCACCTGTTTTATATTTTAATAAAATTAATTTTAAATCATTAAATATAATTATATATTTTTTAAATCAATATTAATAATAAATTTTATATTAAAACGTCTGTAGAATATAAAAAAACTAATTCTCAATATAAACCAGATGTGTCCTTATTTATCCATATTGTCCCTTCATTCTAGTGGCTATACGTGGCAGCGAAAGGGCACCTAAAGTATATGCGTTTAGACTGCTTAAACAACAAAGAAAAAGTAATCTCCTTAGTACTTTAGAAAAACATTTATCTTATTAACTTAATAATGTGGCAAATCTCCTTCTCAGTATATTTAACACAATTATGTAAATTTTGATTTCAAGACTATGAGTGAAGTTGAATAACCTCACACCATTTTCCCCCATGTATGGTTGCTATAATTATAATATTATCTTAGAAATTGAATTAAATGTATATATATAGTACGTAAATTTGAAAGGATTAAAATTCATTACAGAAGTTATAATCCCTTTAATCTACTTGGTGCTTGACTTAATTTTGTTTTTGTTTTTATTTAATTTTCTCTAAAATAAAATTTACATATTTTTCTTTTACAGCGAGTATATTTTGTGTTCAATTCATCGAGGGTACCAAGGCCGAAGAACAGAAAATAAAAAGGTGAAACCGGCCTAAGTCCAATAAAAACTCAAAAACGGACAGGCCCAATAATAGAAAATTGTTTTTTTGACAGTCCCAATAATATAAACTATGCAACAGAAAAAAAAAGAGTAAATTATCTTTTTTTCCTATGTAAATAAATATTTTATTATCTCCTCCTCTTATATTAAAATTCTTTGAAAAATTAAAAAGCTTGATACTTTAATCCTTTTTTTTTCTATTAAAGTTCTATAATTTTTTTTTTTGTTAAAAATACTGTCAAAATATTATTTATACCATAGAGTGTTTCATATCCTTTACTTTTGTGTTAAATTACACACTTTCCTCTTGAAACAAATGTAAATATATAATACCTTACTTAAATATATATATATATATATATATATATATATATATTATACTGTTGTAATATACATTTTAAATTTTTTATTAATATTTATAAATAGTAAATAAAATTAATTTTAAAATAAATGAAAGTAATATATTTAATTTTAAAAGTTCATGCTCAAACTCAATCGTGCAGGGGTATCGACTTGATCCATGACTGATGTCACTCCATTGGCATTCGATATGATTTCAACGTGAGACGATTCTCTCTTCTCATGCCCTATACCACCAATCTTGCATTCGACACGGTTGAAACCACATTCGACATTTGCATCTAGTGCAATATTTGTTTTGCACTTATGTAGAACCCGATTTTCAGGCCACTTCACCTGAAACTTGATCAATAACTAACATGCAATGCACAAAACAACATACATGCATCTCAAATACCTTGAAAATAACTTAATTTACAACATGCAACTGCATAATTCATATTCACTCAAATCACCCAAGAACACCATTTTGAAGAACACTTCTAAAACATTTTCCATTTTATGATTTTCTCTAAATAAATCATGCAACCACAAATCCCAACATCAAATAGCAAACATTCAATAACAAAAATCTAAAATACAAGTTTCCTTTACCTCTTGAAGAAACGAAATAGCAAAAGGGAAAAAGAAGAACTTACTTTGAACAACTTTCAACTTGGGGTATTTTAAGCTCCACAAATTTTGAATCACTCACTCAACAATAATGATTAACTATGAAGAAGGAGAAGGAAAAAATTTATAAAAAAAATAGAAGATTTTGAATTATAGAGAGTCTCTCACTAATTTATCTTTAGAATTCTTAAAACTTTAACTTATGAGACTTACTCATTTCAGAGTTAAACTAGCTTATCTCTAGTCTAACTACCTTATAAATCAACTTAATTACCAGAGTCGCCTCGCTCCATAGTTCTTAAATAATAATACTACAATAACTAATAGTTATACAATAATAATCATATAATTGAATTAAAATATCATAAAATTAATCGTAAACACCATATCACTGTGCTTAGCAACAAGCTATATATAAATTACATATATCTTTACTCTCCGTATTGAACTATGAACACTAATATAAATTCGACTTACCATATTTAAAGCAATAAAAGAAACATAATTGACCACTTTAAAAATTAAAAAGAAAAACCAATTTTTTAACAATAAAATTTCAAAATATTTATTAAAAATTAAACTATCTAATATAAAATATAGAAACTAATTTTTTTAATACAGTAGTAACAATGAAAAATATCCTAATATAATCCGATAGGAAGTCAACGACATTTTAAAACTACAATAAAGACAAAAGATTACTATAGACTATTTAACTAATCTCTAAACATGAATGTGAAAAAATTTCTTCGAAGATAGCCTTCAACCAATGTCATCAATTAGTGACTATAAAATAAAATCCTTATTAAATAATATACTTGAACCTTCACTTAAAATTCGAAACGTGGGTTTTCAGTCTTGTTCATTAGCTAGCGTTGCTTGAACCGAACTGAAGGTATTTCCAAAATCCAAAACCAAAGTGTTTTCAGCAACTCAAGATGATTGAAGAACCCTAATCTCTATCTGATCACACTAGAAACGCATTTACTATCCTCATCTGAAGCAGCTCGGAAGGATCGAGCAGTTTCAATTTCGATGCATGGTGAATTCAATTGAGCTCAATTTCAAGGTTTGATTCTTCAACCATGTGGTATTCCTTCTGGAAACCAAGAGATCGTTTCTCCTTGGATCAACTCAGGTCACTCACCCTATCCTCGCTCTTCACTTCATTCAAACTCTCTCAAGTTATTATCAAATTGCTCATTCTGAATTTCTGAAGAATCTTAGCTAACTAATTAGTCGAGCTGGGTTCTGTTCTGTATATATCTTTTGGAACCTTAGGTCACTCGTAGTTCAAAAAAGTGCATTTCACGAATCATTGATTATTGTCTTGCTGCATTATGGTTTTCACTTTTCAGGTACTTAACCGATCAGTTGACAAAAGTACAAATTATTAATGAGGTTAATAAGGTAATTATGTAGTTAGCTCGTCTTAGCTTTCAACTTTCTTTGCTATGTTCTTCACGGTTTTCACTGTTTCCTCAATTGTTTTTATATGTGGAAGGGTTTTGTTGTTGAGGCGCTGAGATCAATTGCGGAGTTGATAACATATGGCGACCAACATGACCCAAGCTTTTTTGAGTGAGATTTCTTGGTGCTCATGTTCATTATTGGTATAGTTTTTGTTTGGTTTAATACATCATTAAGTCCCTAAACTTTTTGAGGATTTTAAATTATTAGGCCCCTAAACTAAAAAAATGTATTTAAGTCATTGATTTTCAACAATTTTTATAACTGGGTCCATACAATTAGTAAAACTGCTACATGTTGTTATTCTTGTGGTGGTTTCAAGTTGCCATAAATTAACTACAGGGACTCAATTATAAAATTTATAGAAGATCAAGGACCTAATTACATTTTTTTAAGTATAGGGACCTAATTAAAAATTCTGAGAGAGTTAAGGACATACTAATGTATTAAACTTTTTTTGTTTTGCTGGAAGTTTATTGTGTCGTAGCTTGTGACAGATTCTTCATGGAAAAACAAGTCATGGGTGAGTTTTTACGTGTTCTAAAACTCAGCAGGACTTTAAGCGTTCCACTTCAGTTGCTGCAAACAGTGAGCATTATGGTCCAGAACCTAAAAAGTGAACACGCTATATGTAGGTTGATTATCAAATGGATTTAGTTTCTCAATGAGATGAAATGTTGATGGGTTCATAATCTTTGCTGAAATTTTTGCAGACTATATGTTTAGTAATGAACATATAAACTACCTGATAACTTATCCGTTTGATTTTCAAAATGAAGAGCTGCTGTCTTACTACATATCCTTTTTAAGGTTTGTATTGACCTTTTAGTTATTTTATTATTGAACTGGTGAATGGTGGTTGATGATTGCCTGCATAGAATCTGTTTTCTCGGGCCAGTATATTTTTGTTCACTTCCCCTCTCCTTTGTATAATGTTGCTAATCAGTTTTTGTTATATCATATGTCTTTTGGTTTTTGAAGAGCAATAAGTGGAAAATTGAACAGAAATACGGTTTCACTGCTTGTGAAGACTCATGGTGTAAGTTTGATGTTCTCATAGTCTTATTCTTATTCTAATGATTTGAATTATAGCTCTTAAGGTAGGCTTAAAAGGATGTCTTATGTAAAACTATGTTTCTGAAAATATTATTGAATGTGTATAGAGAACAAGCACTAACCTGATTATATAGACTAAGCTATATTGGGCCTGATTAATGGACATAATACAATGCTTGATAATAATTACATAATATACACATAATAAATATTGATACAATACTAATTATTACATATTTCCATCACTTCATAACTATGATGTTCATGACATTAGAATTGTACAGGAGACTGAGTTTTAGTGGCGTTTTCTAGCTGTAAGCTCTTTAGTCCCGAGTCTTTACTTTATAAGGTGGATAAATGATACTGGTTTTTCTACTTTGGACAGACTTTTATTAAAATTTAGTGGTCAAGAGAAAGATAAGAATGGAAGGAGGAGAAACTGTAAGTTAGAAATACAATAAAAACTTGTTATATTTTTGAAGTGGATGATTTTGGCAGAGAAGCCTGTTGGAGTGTTGTTAGTCTTTATTGATCAAATCTTGTGAGATCATTAAATTTTTTCACATATTTGTTGTTAGTCATTTGTGTCTATTAATTCTTTGAAGTATAGTTGATTTATTGTCTTTTGGCTGTGAAGTAGGTTATTCTGCCTTAGTTTTTTTTGGCTATCCAAAATTCAAATGTGTTCACTGTATCTTTCTATGTGTATAGGATGAAGTAGTTTCATTTCCACTGTATGTTGAGGCCATACGCTTTGCTTTTCATGAGGAGAGCATGGTTCGCACAGCAGTACGAGCTGTGACACTTAATGTTTATCATGGTGAGATTTTATTTTTTTCACATAAGCCCTCTTCTGTAATTTTTTTCCTTGGTCCCATTTCCTCCATTAACTAAATTTTATGCTGACAAAAATCATATTTTTCTAATACATTTGTTGTACAATTTTCAGTTGGAGATGACTCTGTTAATAGATATATAACCAGCACACCTCACAAAGATTACTTCTCTAACCTGGTTTCATTTTTTAGGAAGCAGAGCATGGATTTAAATAAACTGCTGTAAGCAATTTCTTTTCTCTTTTGTGTATGGGTATTCATATATATATTTTAAGATTCCCTCGTGTGCTGAAAAAGCAATTGTGGTTGCTGAATACTTGAGACAGAAATCCCAGACCAGATTCAATCTCTACAATTATTGCTGCTGTAGATGAAATTGAGGATAATCTGTACTACTTTAATGATGTCGTCTCTGCTGGAATTCCTGATGTTGGGAGGATAATTACAGACAGCATTTTGATCATTTTGATATTTCCATTACTTTTTCCTTCCCTGAGGATCGGGCCTGATAAGGTATGAAACTTCACTTTATGGCCTTGTCAGTTTACTTCGATCCACTTTCGTCTTTGTTCAAGGATTTTTGAAAAAAAATTTCCTTGAAAGATTTTGATTCTTATCATGCATCTTGTTTTTATTAATGTTTGATATTACATTATTATAGGAAATGCAAGATGGTGTTGTCACTTCTCTGTACTTACTTTGTTGCATCTTGAGGATTGTCAAAATCAAAGATTTGGCAAATATCATAGCTGCTGCTCTTTTTTATCCCTTAGAGGCCTTTACAAAGAGTTCTGGGGGTAAACTCAGTGGCTTTATATCTGATCGTGGTTTCACATTTGAATGCCAAGTGCCAGATAATCTTACCAAATATGATACAAGACACTCAATGGTTAATGTTCCATATTCTTCTAGTTCTCCAGGTCTTCATTCAGATGGTGGTGTTTTGCAAAATGATTGTAGCAGTTCAAATTTGTCTTTAAGGTAAAAGCCACATTTTTGGGTACACAATTTATATTGCGTTTTTTTGTTACTATTTGTAAGTCAGGTAAAACTGTTCTGTTTTGTATTTCAGCTTGTCACTGGAACCAGAAACATTGATGAATATATCATGTCAGCTTAAACTACCCTGATTGCAATCAGTTATTTAAATGACATGTAATACTGTGTTCTACCAAAAATAAAAATAAAAATAAAAATAAAGCATACTATTTTCTTGGCCTATTGTATACATCCTTTTGATGTTGCTTTAGAATTGTAACATGTTTCAATAGAATAAATTTTTGTAGTAACTTGGGAGTTTATGTAGGCTTTATGTCTTATAATGATGCAGTAAGCCTTTTGTTGTGTTTTCCTAATAACTCTTATGATTTATGTAGGGAGGCTTTGCTTGAGTATGTAATAAAAGGAAATGATAACCTAGTTTTGGGTTCTTTGAGTGTGCTTGCAACTCTGCTGCAAACTAAAGGTTGTATCATTAATTTTTTTGTTTGCTTTACTTTTCCATTGTTTTCTGTTTACTTGGTGCATCTTTTTCTGTAGAACTTGACGAATCAATGTTAGATGGGCTTGGAATTCTTCCACAACGCAAACAACACAAGAAAATGTTATTGGTATACCATATTCTTCCATTTTGATCCTTTTTAATTATATGAACATCTGATGGTTGGCTTTTTCACACTGTCCTTTTTCTACATTGTAAAATGTTTTGGGGGAGGGTTTTGTTAAGATAGCAGAAAGGGAAACATTCGTTGAAAACCATGTGTTTCAACAACATTGACTTAATATTTATATAATGAATATGATAAATTCCTAGTCAATTTTCCTAATTAGTAATTGCAATATTTTCTTTATACATTGAACTAGACATTTATACTAATTGTAATTGTACATATAACAATATACATTTTTATCACTTTCCTTCAAGTTGGGGCATACAACTACAAGTTACATGTGCTAAGCTTGTTAAGATATCTTATCCAAGAAGACCTCCTGAAGTTTTGATGAAAACATTCGCTAATTGATTGTTTGAATTGAAAAAGAAAACATCACTGGTAATGTCTCTAGATTGGGTCTATTCTAAAGTGGACAATGTACTTCAATGTATTTGGTCCCCTCCTAGAAACAAGATCAGAGGTGATTTACACTGCAGATCGGTTATTACTTATTATAAACAAATTGTCAATTGCATTATCTCCTCTAGCTGAGGCTTTTTGAGAAGTTGCTCAATCAAATGAGTTCGTAAGTGTTAGATACCACAGTTTGGTATTATACTTTATCAAATGACAATATTGAATCTACCAAAACTTGCTCAATGAGACTATTTGAGCCTATACTAAGACTTATGAAGATGACAAACTAGGCCAAAAGCTTATGCTGAAGACCGTGTCTCTTAACTACACCCCAAACCTGATATTTATATAATGAATTTAACAAAAGCTAAGGTACTATTTTCAACAGATTTGGTGGGTCCTTATTGCTTGCGTAGAACCTAGTCAATGTAATCATGTTACATCCTTTGTGGAGAACCAGGAGGCACTTAGTGGGGGAATATGAGATGCTTTGTGTATTTGCAAAAAGTGGGATGCTTGAATGACTATTGTGTGTGTGAGTGTTCAAGGTGTGAAATTTTGGATAAGGTTCTTGACAAAGGGATATATAGAGTTGGGAAGAGTGGATCCTGTGGGTTGGATGTGAGTTTAAGGAGTGAAATCAACTCTTAGAAAAGTAGCCAAGTAAGGTGATGAGATGAAAGGATTAGTGACTTAGGCTTCCTTGTGTTACTTAAGAGCTGACTTGTGACTGAGCTGGCATAAAGGCTGATTTAAGGGTATAAATTCATTTGAGTTTAGTTCAAAATGACCCTTTTTGTTATGTTTTGAGCAAAAAAGGATAATTGTCTTTTAAGGCCCCCCTCCCAAAAAAAAAATAAAAAATAAAAAATGAAGCACATCAATTCAGTATTGATGAATTGGTCTATTGTTGACATACTATTTGATTGGCATTGCATTTTTTTGGCAGCAAGCTTTAGTTGGTGAGGCTTCAGGTGAAGAGCAGCTTTTTTCATCGAAAAGTAGCTTTAGTAGGGATGGCATTGGTAATGATATCAATGTCTATCATAAAAAGATCAAGGTTTGCACTTATCTGTTCTACAGCAATTGTTGATTTATTTAATTTTCACTACCAATATTTGTTTAGATTTTAGAATCTCTTTTGATTGATGTTTGGCTTCCTTCCATTTTCCATGTTTCACAGGAGCAGTATGGAGTATCTTTTCTGCCTTCTGATGTGGGAATAAGCTCTCTTGTACATAGATTTCAGGTAAATGTTTTGTATCTAGTGTAGTGGAGTCTTTGTAATAGTTTCTCCATACCATGTGAAAGTACCTGATTGCTTTTGGTAGGTTTGTCTTTTTCATTTAAAATCACAGAACTATAACCTTAGCATACTCGTTTGTGTTTTTTAGTTAGTGGATATAGGAGTTCCATGCATAGTTAATTAGTTACCAAATTTGCTCGAGCCTGTTTAAACTGCATTCTAGGATGCATGTTCCAGTTTGCAGTGCATTTCTATTCCAATTCATTGTGGAATACACACTGGAATGCCCAATGTTCTTGCAGCACATGACTCCATTTGGGTTTTTCAACACAATCATGGCTTCACTTTTCCTAAAAGACGTTTTGAAGGGAAGGTATGTGTAGAAATTATGGGGTTTTAGGCATAGAGGGAGAGAGAGAGAAAGATGAAAGAGAATGAAATACTATTTTGATATTTGTTAGAAAGCCACCTTAATTATGGTCACTTCTAGCCCACCTTAATTGCAGCCTCTTTGGGCAGCCTTAATTGTTGCGTTGATGAGGTGTGTTTAGTCCCATATCTCCTAGAGCATGGCCTGAGTAGTGCTTATAAGGACAGTTCTCACCTTAAAAGTCACTTTAAGTCCATATTCTAAGAACATTAACTAAGATATATTATAATGTGTTGATGCATTATTATTTTGTTAGATATATTTATAAAATTTAGAACACTAACTACTCTTATTAAGAAAAAAATCATGATAAGGAAACCAATATAACTAGCCATAAAACATCTTGAGGAAATTTGGAGAGTAATCTTAGAGGATACTCTAAAATATGATAAGATATTTTTGGATATTTTCATATTCTAACTTTATCACTTAAGATTGAAGGAGATAACATTTAAGACGCTGTTTGTGAGTGAAAAGGTTGTGTATAAAAACATTCAGCCCTACGAGATATATATACATGATTACAAACCTAAATAAATACAAAATACATTTACAACTGGAAAATAATTAATTCTAACCCTACTTCCTAAATTATAATATATAGGCTACTTTGGTAAGTGGAACAATTATTGTGTGATTACCAACAGTATCTGATGGGATGGTCTTTGAAGACTGAAGTTAGTATGAAGATTCTGTACTCTGTAGCAGTGCTTGCAAACTCAAAAACCAGAGATTCCTCAGAAATTAGAGACTTAGTTCGACTTCTAAAAATGCAAATAAAATTTGATTGGGCTCTTTGCAGTTGCAGAAGGTGAAATCAAACTTAGTGCTTTCTGCCAACAAAAAGGACAGGTTATTTGGATGAAACTTTGAGATCTGGTTTTAGTTAGCAATATTCCACATGACTTGCAGATTAAAAACAATGTGCTGGTGGTGCTTTTTTTTTGGGTAGAATTCAATTTATACTATTTCTTGGAGATAAGACTAAAGAAATAGGAATAACTGATGTTATTATAAAAAGATAAAAGAGTAAAAAAAAAAGGCATGAAAGGAAGTTTACTACCAATGCACCTTTCAAGTCTGCAAGGAAAGTCTTCTAGAATCTAGATTTTTTTGGGGTTTCATTAACTGGAAATGCATTAATTGGGAGCACGCAGGGATGGAGAATGAGACAAAGTGACAGACTTAACATTAAGTTTATAACAAAGTAGTTGATTGCAGAACGTGGTGCAGAGCTACCACATTAAAAAATGTCTATAGTGGCATACCTTGTCATGGGGCTGCCTCTAGATGAAATATAAATATAGTGGTTGTGGTTACAGTTAAAACTTTAAAAATTTGTAAAATATATTCTTTAAGGATAAAATACTTTTTTTAGTCCTATAGTTTCACTTACTTTATCTTTTATTCCTTATAGTTTAAAATAGACTTTTTAAGTTCCTATACTTGTGGAGTTACAGTTTTAAAAGGATTATAAAAATGAAAGTATAGGGACTAAAAATATATTTTAAAGTATAAGGAGTAAAAAGGATTGAAAAAGATAAGTATAAGGATTAAAAAAGTCTATTTTAAACTATAGGGACTAAAAGGTAAAGTAAGTGAAACTATAAGAACAAAAAAAATATTTTAACCATTCTTTAAATGAACCGGTGTTACTGTGACCGATTGGTCTGATGCTACAGGGTTCTAGACAGGATCCATGTATAAAACAGAGGATGTATATATGTCCAAAATTGAAACTAATACAAAACAGAAATGAGAGCTGTGCACAGTAGAGGTAGAAGCTGCTATCAATGTGGGTTTGATAGTTCATCATCACTCTTGGGTTTATGTAGGCTGTGCAGTGTTGAATACTTGAAGATCCATTTCATAATTGCATGCAAATGAAGACAAAACCATAAATTGAAGTCAATTTGAACTTAGTTTGTTACGTTTGAGTTTGTTAATTATATCTGCTCTGTTTTTCAGGTGATTGATGCATTGGTGATCCTCTGTTGCCGCTCTAACATATCTGCAGAGGTACTATGGGATGGCGGTTGGCTTCTGCGCCAGTTGCTTCCTTACAGTGAGTCAGAATTCAACAGCCATCACCTTGAATTACTGAAAGTAAGAACATGTGAGGCTTTTCTAGCAACAACTTTGCTTTGAGAACTTCATACATTTTCTTATGATCATGCAGTGTTTACAAAAATGTCAAAGTGCATGGGTTTAAATTACTTTATGAGAAAATCTGATAAATACAAGGGAGATGAAACACAGAAAATGATATATAAACTGAGAAAGAACTGAAAAATGAGTACCGGAAATGGTTTTATAAATGGCGAGTGGCAACCAAAGAATACAATTCTCCTACCTGAGATGCTACTCCCAGACCTCAAAATTAGAGTACCACCCTCCTTTCCCCTCAAAACTCCTCCCTCTTCCTGTACCCCCTTCTCCCATAATGTCCTCTTCTCTAGCTAACTCAACCATGTCACCAAATCCCCATGACAGAAATTCCCTCATTGTCCCCACCTCCTTATAGAGTGTACTTTCGTTATGAGTGGCTTGGTAGGATCCAGGCCCAATAGTCAATCCTCATCTGAACCTTTATCTATTATTTCAGTAGACCTCTTGAGGAAGCCGAGTGATTTGAGAGAAGATACCAATACAAAATTACATAAAAATCTAACATCCTTTGCATGTTTTTCACGGAATCAAAATTTCATTAATTCTTAATTATACAGATATACTAATGGTTAGCAGTCAACTAATAAATAAAATTTATGGTTATAGATATCAATTTACTATTTTCCTTTGAGTCGCTCCCATTATATATACCTGAAGGATATCTAAATTCAGGAATGGTTAAATTTAGGTCAAAACAAAGGATTGGAGAGTTGATGAAATATATGGTTATAGATATTAATTTACCATTTCCCTTTGAGTCACCCCCATTAAATTATACCTGAAGGATATCTAAATTCAGAAATGGTTAAACTTAGGTCAAAATAAAGGATTGGAGAGTTGATGCTAAAGAGAATAAAAAATGAAACATGCAAAATAAGTAAATATTAAAACCCCTTAACTCCTTTGCTTGTTGTCTTCGTAGAAAATAATAAATGGTGGTTTAAAAGATTGTACTTTTTGATAAAACATGCCTTGTTCACGAATAGTCACATTTCTAATCATGGTTGCAGAAATTCATGAATAGGATATGTAGCAAGAATGTAAAAGAGATGATTTAATAGAAGAAAAAAAAAAGACATTATAGCAAATTAAAGTGTCTTGCAGTCCTACTAGTATCATCTCGGCTATTTGCATCTCCTAATGCAGTTATATCAATATTCTTTTCTAATACAGGTTTATATCAATATTCTTTTCTAATACAGGCTTCTCACGAGAAACATGCTTCTGCTCTTGTAGAGGAGGTTAGAGGTATCTGGCCTGACTTCCTTATTTCCATTCTCTGTGATGAATGGAGAAAATGCAAAAGAGGTGATTTTTATATTACATATTGTTCTGTGTGAGAAGGTTTACTTATGTTCTTGAACAAGAAACTTTTTCTACCTGTAGCAATGGAGTCATCATCTCCTCGGAAAGAACCAAAGTGCATACTTTTGCCACCACGAAAGAATTCTTCAGAAGGCAAGTTTATAGTTTGTACCTGTTTCAACATTCATTTTTCCCATGGAGGAAAGAGTTAGAAGCCCCTTAAGTGATCTCCCTGTTGTTACTACAGGTGGTATTCCAGAGGGGTCATCTTTTGCTGCTGGAGAAAGAATGCATGAGTTGATGAAGGTCAGTGCCTCCTATTCTCCCCTCCTCCCTCCCAAACATATATTTAAAAAAAGTGTAGTACGGCATAAAAAATGTGAACTGGGATTCTCAATTCAGGTTCTTCATGAATTGTGCAGTAATGTGTACCTTTAGTTGCTGAAGAGCTTTATGTTGTCCTTTTCCTATTTAGGTATTTGTACTACTGCACCAACTTCAAATATTCACTCTTGGTAGAGCTTTATCTGAGCAACCTAAAATTTACCCTCCTGGTGATCTCCTTGAAAATTGCCGTGCCCAGGGTTCTGGGCTTGACGTGTCAGGTCCAAAGGCAGGCTCTGAAATCAGACTTGGTTAGTGATCTGAACTGCAGCTTCTTGTATTCTCTTCACTGGTTCCGTGAGGTTTTTGCTTTGCTGTAGGACAGACAGGAGTAAAAAGAAGGAAGAAGATAATTACATGTTATTGCCTTTACTCTGGAATCGACTAATTTGTTAAAATTTACTTATTTGTCATTTGCAGGCAACGCCGTGCCTTGTAGAATAGCTTTTGAGAGGGGCAAGGAGTGCCATTTTTGCTTTCTAGCAATTTCTTTAGGAATATCTGGGTGGCTTGTTCTCGCAGAGGAATTGCCACTGAAGAAGTCCTATGGAGTGGTTCGGGCTGTTGCACCTTTGGCCGGGTGCAATGTATGTATACTTCTCTACTTTTGCATCTTAAGTATATTTGGTATGGTGCAACATCATTTGGAAAAATTAGAATAAAATATTTATTGGAAAATTGATTTTGACGAATAACTATTTATTGACTTAATTACCTACATTAGTGGCTGTTGTTTTAAACTCGAAATATTTTGCCAATAATTCAATTTTTTTTTAATAATTTGCTCAATTTATTGTTGGTAAGATTTAAAGATAAATAATGTGGTGTATTTTGAGAAGATCTGTTATGATTATTTTAACCATGATTATATAATAATCTTACTATCAATGTTGCCCTCATTGTTTAGCCCAGGATTGATGATAAACATGCAACTTGGTTACACTTGCGGATTCGCTCATCCTCTTTACCCTTTCTCGATCCTGTCCATTTCAAAGACTACGGGAAGAAGAAAATAAAAGCTTCGGTAGATGGCAGATGGACATTGGCGTTCAGAGATGAGGAGACTTGCAAGTCAGCTTTTATCATGATTGTCGAAGAGATGAATCTTATGAGTGATGAGGTTCATAGAAGAATAAAACCTTTGCTCAGCCTTGAAACTGCAATAGATTTATCAAGCTCGTCTGTATGTATTCCAGAGGATTCCTCATCGTATAGAACACATCCAAATTAATTTCGTCACCCTTTTGTACATGACTCCAAATTGCCTTCTACATAGTGTCATTCTTTTTTGTATACTAGCTCCGTATAATTTTTCACTATTACGGGTAAGTTTCGCAACCAATGTAAATATGAGGGGACCTCAAAGGATCTCGTATAGATGTGTGTTTTTCTTGTTTGGAACGTCTTCGTAATTTTTGTATAGTAGTGTGTTAACGCTAATTATATGGACTGGTGAAAGCTTTTTCTTTTTTTGGCAGTGTTAATACTGACCCACTCGAATCTCGTATTGCAGTCTTTTGACAGTGTTTATATTTTTTATCCTACTAGTCCTTAATGGATAGTAACTCGTTCGTTAAAGCAAAAGGATGAAGCATTAAGTTGAATATAAAGTTTTGATGAACACTTGGTATGAGGAAAAGAGAAGAGGAGTTATTCAGTGTCCATATGTTGCGACCCTCTGATCAATCCAGTCCCTCATGTCCCCCAACACAAGGTTGGCGGAGTCATCAGGCTCCCCCTGAATCAAAGAATGGTACATCCCATCATAGAGCTTCAAAGTCTTATCCTCGCTGGAAGCCTTCTCATAAAGCAACTTAGAGGAGGAAGGGCAAGTAACGCCGTCAGAAGTTCCGTGAGCGGTGAAGAACGGGGCCGTTACTCTGGAGAAATTGTCCTGCACGTACTGCGTGACCCTGAGAAGCTCCCGCATGGTCCCCACCCGGGGTGGGCCGGTGTAGCGCCTGGGGTTGGAGGCAATGATCTTCAACTTGGCGGGATCCCGAATGGCCTTGCCGACCATCTTGTTGTCGGGCATAGCGGCCCAGGTGTCAGCCAGCCCAAACAAGAGGCCGTACATGAACAAATGGACCTTGCTGGGCTTCATGTCCTCGGGGATAACAAAGAGCGGCGCCGAGAACATGAGCCCGCTCCACGTGTCCGCCCGGGATTGGAAGTACATGAGGAGCGTGGCCAGGCCGCCCATCGACTCGCCGAAGAGGAAGGCCGGGAGGTTGGCGTAGGGGTCGCTGCGGCGGACGTCCAGGAAGAATGAGAGGGAGGCGGCCGCGATTTTTTCCATGTCGCCGAGGTAGCATCGGAGGCCGTCGGAGCGGCCGTGGCCGAGGAGGTCGGCGGCGAAGACGGCGTAGCCCCAGGTGGCGAAGTTGATGCAGATTTTCTGGAAGAGCCATCCGGTGTCGGAGCCGTAGCCGTGGGTCATGAAGACGGTGGCTTTGATGTTGTCTGTGTGGAGAGGGAGAAAGGACTGAGTGAATATCTTTCCGTGCGGGGTTTGAAAGTAGGACTTGGTGTTGCGCACGCCTTGGGAAGCGTAGTACTCTTCTTCTGGCATGTGGCCCCAGAAGTTTGGCGGAACCTCTGCTTCCGATGCCATTTTGTGTGTCTGCAAATTGCAATGGCGTTTGTGGGTTGCAACAAATAGCAAAGACAGAGTGTTAGGTGGGAGGGTGGCAGTGGGACCCAGGGAGTGGGTGAACCAACCCACCACTAGGCACTATGGATCAAAAGTTGGTTGGTGCTAAGTGCTAACCGATCACACTCTCCTTCGGTTGGTACCTTTTTTATTGGGCTATCACTTTATCTATTTTGGGTTGGACCAAAAAAAAGGGTTTTTGTTTTGTAGTTTGGGTAACGGCTAGTTAAACAATCAGAGATATTATTGGACTTGCTTCCTATCTTTGAAAGGTGATGAAGCCACTATGATGGGTTGGGCTTGGGCCATGTTATTCTGTTACCCAAAACTAATCCTTTCCCCTGCGAAAAGAAAAGTTAAGACCATCATTAGTAATGTGAAATTTTCATCATCCACCAGCTACTCCCCTACTTTTTCTCTCTATTTTATTCCTTATCGTGTTTACAATTGATAAGAAAAATCATACTGTATTTATTAAGAGAGTTCAAAAAGTGCAGAACAAGTTAACAACCGAGACTATACCTTGTAAACCGGCTGTTCCAATATGGAAAACTTATACCTATCAGTCATCCAATCTCGAAACATTCAAAGTGAATAATCTATCTCTCCCAAATGCATTTATGGATTTCAAAATTTTAAGGAGTTACCAAAAAAATCTTGAGTTTATTATTGTAACTTCTTGAATATGTTCCGGGATATTATTCATATCATCAATTTAGAGAATACTTTACTTTGGAGTTAATGGATAAATGTATCATTTCACATATTTTATGACATAAATTTGTCGTGTTAAAAGAGATGAAGATAAATAACAAATTGTCTTATTCTTAAATTGTGTCAGATTCAAACCAACTTTATCACTTAATGGATAACCGATTAGGCTAACAATTTGGGTTGATAAGATTAATCCAATCCCTCATATTTACTATATGACAAATTAATTATGACATAAATCCATGACAATCAAGTATAAAAACTCTAGTCCTAGAATAAGATAGACAAATTACACATATTTTAACTTTGGAAGAGTAACTAGGTTAACCTTCCTACATTTTTTAGACAGGAACAATTATCATTACATTCTAATATTCGATCCATAATTAATTGGACAATTATTATTACATTTTAGTATTAAATGCTTTGTTTCAATAAACTACCAATAATTTCTTATTAATAAAACCTGTGCCTTAACTTATTTTTGCTAATTTTTGACAACCATTAAACCAAAGTTAGAAATATATCAATCAACTTGAATATTTTTTTAGTCCTCCAATTTCAAATATTTGAAATTATAAGAAGTTGATCTCTTATTTTATTTGAAAGTATTTTTTCAATATATTTTTTTTCATAGTATATTGACATATTACTTTGTTTTTTTTGTTAAATTTTGAAACATTAAAGAGCAATACTAATGTAAATAAACATTTAATGAACAAAATAACACTTTTTTTTTTAATAGTAGACTGTCTCATCATTAAATACTATAACCAAAAAGAAAGCATACCAACACTACAACGTTACGTAATGATTTCAGGCTTGTGGCGCTAATAACTTTTGGTGCCATTTTAACTTGTATTCTTTTAAAAAGCTTTGTAATTAATAGCATCATTGTGAACTTTTATTTCAACTGACGACATTTGGTAGCTCTTTTAGAGCACTAATTAAAGCGAGGGACCCAAAATAAAAACATGAAAAGAATCAAATTAGAGTTCCTAAAAAAGAAACCTTAATCGGGAGACATACCTTTATGGAGGATCTCAAAAACCCAACCCAATCACTCATTCTTTGTTTAATTCCACATGGTGGAAGATAGATCGCCAAGAAAGTGGCACCCAGATCAGAAGCATGTAAACAAAAGTGAAAGCGAAGACACCAAATTCATTAGAAGGATTCAGAAGAATGTTAGCACATTCTTTTAACAAAACATTATTACACATTTTTTTAACAGTTTAATAATATGTGTAAAAGTTTTCACAACATCAACTAATTAAAATTTATCATTGATATGATATTTAATGTAAATATTATAAAAGTTTACAATTTAAGATTTATAAAAATTAAAAAATTTTATCATTAAATAACAAAATAAAACTATTTTATACTCGTGGTACCTTTTTTTACCCTCTTTTTATGGGAATACATTTTTATTGAGTTTAATTTTTATTCATTATCAATTTAAAAGTCACACCAACAATAGAGTCTAACTTAGTTGAGTAGGTGTATGAGTAATGTAAAGTTCTAAGTATTAAGTCCGTTTCCTATAAATAGAAAATGTCTAAAAATCACTTTTTCAAAATGCTAAACCCTAAGAAAGTATCTTATTGACATTTTTCTTTATCGATTTTATATTGACTTTCTAAGAAATTGGTAGTGATGTTCAATTATTCTTATACTAATTAAGTTATATCTTAATAATTAAGCAAAGTCATTTTATTAGGATGATAATTCTACCAAAATTTTATGAATATTTGTAAAAAGAAATTTATAGTAGATATAATAAATAGTCATTTAATGTAGATAGTTCTCAAGGTGAGAATTTACCTACAAAACTAAAGAAAGATTAGTGCGAGTATGAGTACCATAATAATCAACTTGTTCCATAATGACACTTATAAATACAAGCATTTAATTAAAATATCTTATATCGGAAGGGGTTTTAGTCGAAGGGTAAAGTTGAAAACTTTTAAGATTCTCGTCAAAGACTATTGGAGTAAACAATCAAGGTATAATAAGAATGTGAATTAGAGGTAATTTAAAGATTATTGAAATTATTATTAAGGCCTAAATCTAATAAGATTAGTATAATAGTGATGCATGAAAAGGAAAATGATACGTTTTGACTACATTTATTATAACATTAATTATGTTGATCTATTTATGCTCAAAAATTGACTTGAACGTTAAAGTGTTTTTTACAAGTATTTTTTCTTTCTCTTTTCAAACAAGTATAATTGAAAACTACTCCTTTCATTATCAAAGATAAGTAAATATATTTTGAAGCCCTCGAATAAATATCAACAAATATTATAGAAATGCCAAACCTGAAGATTGGGAGAATGAAGACTCAGAAGATTAAGACTTGGAGTCATGAAATTATTTGTGTATCCTTATGTAGGTACATATCTCTTATATATAATTATTAAAATAAACATAATTATTTAATCAAAAGTTCTTTATATCTCATAATTATATCTTTTGACTTTATAATATGTAACTACAAACTATTAATGTCAATCTATTATTATTTTTTTATGGAGAGTACTAACACATAACTCCATATTAAGAATTAATTATTCTTGAAGTTTACTTTATATTTTATCAACTTTAGAAATTATAAAAAAATATTTATAAATAATTATGTTCCTATAATGTAGTATAATTATATTTGTATGTGATTTAAGAATGTTTTTTATTTATAATTCCAGTAGAAAAAAGGATATTTTTTCAGTTCAGTTGTAGTAATCTCTTGAATTAATAATTGATCTTAGATCTAAGTAAGGTGAGGGTCACATATGCAAGATACCCAAACAAGTACGAGAAAAAATATTTAAGTTGCAATCCAATATACATATTCAGATCCTATCTTTTGTTATCCCTACATTTTATGAAATTTATTTTCATACACTCTTTTTGCCACTAATAATAAATTTAGTATATAGTCGTTAAATATTTGAGTATCATATTCTTTTATAATTTTGATTAATCATGAGTTTAATCATGAATATCACATTTAGAGATCGAATATGATTTTTATATCATTGTTGTAATTAATCATACTCTCCGTATGTGTAATAATAAAAGATGATGACATGGTTGTTAAAAAATTAGTCCATCATTTCATTTATTTACTGTTCAGTGTCATATTAATATTATAGACTACATTACCAAGTTTCATAATCATATTCATGCAAAATTTTGCCACACGCCGTTGTCGATTATCATGAAAATGGGTCATATACTGGAAATCAATTGCAATGACAGGATATCGTATATATAGATATATATGATGATTCACCAATCATAGAGTAACTTTACATAATTAAAATAGCAGTACACTCAAGGACGCACTTCCGCTGTTGAATCATTTACAACCTTTGAGGTCAAAGTAATGATATATAGTTTTGATTTTGAATATATAAAATGGAAGCAGAAAGCGTCAATAGCGGAGGCAGGTACATTTCTCAATTGTTGTTATCAATTATCATTTTTATTTTCTTCGGTTGGGAACAATGCATGACTTCATATTTGTGCATGGAAGCCTTGCATAATAATCATGATTGTTCTCCGATTGCAGCACAAGGAGGAAAATAAATTAACAAAGGGATAGTGGAAATGCAAAACAACTTACGAAAAGATAACATGGTCTGACTTCTGTTGATGCTTGCTCTTGCTCTGCTCTCCCCCATTATTTCTAATTAATTGATCCTTTTATTTGTTTAGAACAGACTGAAACTTAAAACTAATTTAGAGTACAAAAATACCCATTTTACCTTAAAATAAAAAAGAACAAAGTAGTAGGAGTGAGTAATGATGAACATAATTGTGAAGTGAAATAAAACAAACCCATGCTATTATGAAAATTAGCAGTTACACAAACTATCCCATTTTACACCTTGTGGACAATTTTACAAGAAGCCCTCGGTACCCAAAATCGCTCACTCTATGAAGTAGTTAACATTGATACTCTTGGGCAGAGAAGAACTCATGAACCCACTATTTGATTTTTTATCTCCTTTACCACACCAAGAAAGTCTAAAAAGTATACCCTCCTTCCCTCCAAAGTTAACTGTTTGTAAACTACATTCAAAAACGTCTTTCAGCCATTTCATAAACAACCTGTTTGTGAAAAAACCACACCCAACACGCACATGCTCAATCACTCTCTCATCTACACTTAAATTCTCCAAACATTGCTTCCCATAAACCTCCTCAAAAGACCCTTTGATCTTACTCAAAAACAACACTTCCATCTCCTTGTCCTTAATTGGACTTGTGTTAAACTCAAATCGGTTCTCTATTGAGTCAAGAAATCCATTTTGGTTCAGCGGATCACCTATAGTTTCCCTAGTCAAATCACTTGATATGGGACTACTTTCTCCTGCTTTAGCCTCCCCATCATCACCCTCTTCATCAGCTCTCATGTTCAGATCAAGAGTGTTAAAGCTTGTTTGTCTTGAAAACTCTTTCTTTTTGTTCCCTTGAAAACTCTTGATGTTAGAAAACAAATCCAGTTCAGCTCTTCTCTTGTGGCCTAAACAAGGCGCCGCCATCCCAGTTGCGACAGATGGTGTCTCTAAGTTAGGCTTGGTTTCACTGACCTGCCACAACAACCTCATAACCATGTCCTCATTCTGCTCCTCAATGATCGTGGGTCCACCACTACTCAATATGAAAATTACTTGACTTGAGTTCTCTTCTGTGGAATTTTCAAACTTCCCTGTTTCAAATCCATCAGAAAGGAACTTATTGAATTGGGCATCAGCAAAGTCAACATTTTCTATTGACACCACAAGCTGTTGGTGGGTTTTCAATGCTCCTGCTAGCATTTCAGAAAACAGGGCTATTGAAGCCTCTCTCTTTAGCATGTCAAAGTGAAGGAGCACATCGGTTGAGCCAAAAACAGATTCTGCAACTGCAAGTGCCAACCTTCTTTTCCCAATGGTGTCATTGCCTTGCAGAAGTAACCAAGTAATGTTTTTACTTTGCTTTGCTGATTTGGAATCAATCAAGGCTTCTGCTATTAAAGGAACAGTCTCAGACTGCCATGGCACATTCTCCTGCAATAGTTTACAAATATGAGCTTGTTGCAGTGTTGTATCAGTTATATGATCCCCCACCGTCTCACCTGAACCACCATTTCCAAGAGCAAGGGTAGTCTTGACTTCTTTACCTTCCATACCCTCAAGGGAATCCAAGACAGGCTCTGTTGCTTCCCTTTTGTAGCCGAAATTGAACTCAGTGATGCATGATTGTTGGCGCCGGAATCGAGGGACGAGTTTGGAGGTGGAACCATGTGTGGCATTGTTGGCAAATGATATAGAGCTTGATGAATTACAACTGTTGTTCCAGTTCCATTGGGTTTGAGGCTGTTTGCTTTGGTGGAGACAGTGGCACAGTCTATTCCATTTTCTTTTCAACTGGATAAATTCATCCTGAAAATGTTGAAGTATTATAAGTCAAAAACCTCTACAATTTTTCAAATCTCAACTAATAGGAACAAGAACATGCATGTTCAGAGAAGAGATAAAGCCATTACACAATCATCAAGTATTGGATTATAAACAGAAAAGTTAACTTGTCTTTTAATTTTCCACTTAGTAATTGCTACCTTCTTATGGTCTTCTTCTGTACTATGGGACTGAAGCCAGAAAGGCAACGTTTTCTTCTGGTTTGGTCTGAGAAATTGAGCTTCTTTTTCATAATTGGAGGCACATTCTTCACAACAATTGAGCTTATCCTCCTGCTCCTTGTTACTAAAGGGCTTTGTTTCAGGGACATGAGACGGGTTCTGCGAGATGCTCATCTTTGAATCAAGGACACTGTAAATTGAGTGCAGAAAATCCCAAGTTAAAATCCAAAACTAAACAAATAGGCACTGTTGAGTTTAGAATATATGGCATTCCATTCTTATCACTTAATGATTAATACCATAGTAGGTCTTAATTATTCCCAGTGGTTGCAATAAGTCATATTTTCAAGAATATATCTCTTTTCCTTTTTGTAAAGTCTAGTTTCTGTTTCTGCTACACAATAATATCATGTGCATGCGTATGTGTAAGAAGTTGGTTATACACTGACAAACTAAAGTGAGGCAGAACCAGAAACAGAAAGGCTCTGCTTCACATCTGCCTTACCAACCAACCATGCTTTTCGCAATGGTTCTGGCATAGCTCAGTGACCGTACGCACTCCTCAACAAAATGTGAAACAAATTAAGCTTTCAACAGACCATCATGCCTGAATAACTTTTATGTACTTATGTTTTCCTTTCTTCTTTTCTTTCTTTCTTTCTTTCTTCCCCTTAATTTTAGGTTGCATTTTACTAGTCATTTTGTAATATTTTTTTTTTGCATGAAATCAAACAAATTAAGCATGACATCTTTTAGTCATTAAATCAAATCAAACTAATTATTAAGCAGAAGATTACCTGGGAGCATGAAGACTCAAGCCAAGTCCACCTGATGGAACAGGAACAGCCTGAAGAGCCCACTGCTTTTCAAGAGGGGGTTGCCTCATTTGACACCTCATGTATGTTTGATAACTAGCAGTTGCCATGAGCCACACCTTAGCGTTATTTGAGGTTCCACAGTCACAGAATAACTTTCCTATTTCTGAAATTAGATGATCAACTGGGTTATAACCAGAAATTTCCCCATCTGGTGACCCTTCCTCTTTTTCACTGCAGCTTCCATCCTCCACTGTCCACTTCAGGTCTCCAATATAAAAAATGCCACCCCCTCCTCCTGATGCAATGGAATCCACCTTCCTTTTCAGTTCTAACAGTTTCATTTCAACTTCATCTCTCTTCATGCAACTCAAAGAAACAGGTGAGAATTGGAATTTGATAAAATGGGTTGATTTTAACTCATCCGGCACTTCTGACCTTTCTAGCCTTCCCATTAGCTCTCCCACAAGCCCTTCAGTTAATGACACTGAGTCACCAACAATCACAGTGTTCTTTTTCTTCTTCCTCAAGAGGATGTCCAGAACAAGCCTGACATCCTTACTAGAAGAAGCTGCCCCAGAGATATGATTCTTTGGTGGAGAAAAGAGAAGTGAAGGGTTGAACTCAGAAGCATAAGAAGTTAAAAAGTGATGAGTCTGCCTGAAATTGCTAGGGTTGTTGGACGTTTCCCTATGGCTCTCACTAGCAGAAGGTGAACAAGGAGAAGAAAACACACCACCAGTGCTATTGTAGCACTGGAAAACTGAATGGGGTGAGGAGTACTCCTCTATGTTGCTCTTAACAGCGGTGCTGGAGAAACCAGCCTCTCTCATAACCCTGCTAACACTAGGGTCATCAAGAATGGATATGATGAGCTGTTCCAGCTCAACCTTGATAGTGAGAAGAGGCTGTTGTTGCTGTTGCTCTATGCAGCCCCTCCTCTGGTGAGCCTGAGCTCTCTTGAGTGCAGCAATGAGAGCATTGGAGAGAGAAGGCTGAGTGTGGATCAAAGGAGCAGGTGTTGTTGGGAGCCTGTTGAGAGCCACATTGAAGCACAACTCAAGAGCCCTGCATTGAAGAGGATGAGAAGTTTGGTGAGGCTGAGACTTAAGACAAGCCCTTCTCAAGGAACTGCCTCTTAGGCTGAGCAAAGTGGCAGCCACGTGCAGAGGAGTGACCTGTGCATGGCCCCTCCTCCGAGCCAACCCCAGAGAGTGCTTCAACACTGAAGCAGCCTCAGCTGTGAGGGTCTGCTGTAATGCACAAACTCCTGAGCGCATCACTTGATCAACACCACCCCCCTCACCACCCCCTTTGTTGATGAACCTTGGTTTTCTTCACAACCACGCTTTTCTTCTTCTTATCTTTCTCTCCCTCTCCAAACACTACCCCCACCCTCTCTCTTGCTATGCTTAGATGGATTTGGAACTTGGAAGTGTTTTTTTTTTTTGTTTTTAACCCTCTCTTTGGTTCAAAAGAACGTGGAACTAACTGAAGGGGTTTCAAGGATGGAAGAAGTGTAAGCTAAAACCCAAAACACACACAAAGAGAGAAAGCTCTAGTGAGAGTCGTGTGGCTTTAGAAATACCTGAACTAAGCCTCACCGCCTTCTTTATACTTCTTGTCACTCATCATTTTTATTCTTTTCTTTTTCTTTAATTCTCTCTTTTGGTTTTAGTTTAAAGAGGCAGCTTTTTTTCTTGTCTTTATTTATTGTTTCTACTGATTCCCTCTAGTTATTGCTGCAATATGCTGCACGTATTTGTTTTCTGGTTTCTGATACGTCACATTAATTTGTTTGTATTAATAAGAAACAAGTTTGTAATAGTCGTTTGACTGCTTTTTCATATGAGTAAATGACAAGTGTAAATTTTTTTTGTACCGTGATTCAGTTACAAATAATAAGTTTCTTTATTTTTATACTTCAACAACGACTTTAAAAGTGTCTATTAAACTCTTTTAAGATATGATTAATTGTATAATCTGAGGCTCTTAACCGCTTCATGAACTGTATATAATTAAATAATAATAATAATAATAATAATAAATTAATAATATAAAACTTATTTGTGTAAATTTGAAGGAATGAAGGATATCAATGTTTACGTACATATAAGGTAGTTTGGTCTAATTAATTAAATTATTATAGAACATCTTTAAGCAATAATTTATTATACTTAACTAGTAATCTAAACACTTAGTGAAAACGATGTAATATATTATGTATTATGAGGACTGAGGACCATTTCGATCATGCATTTATAAAAGTATGAAAAGCTGAGACTGCAGTCATCTTACTTAGGGTACTCATCTATCAGATAGCTGCAATAACAATGAGCATGCATGTTTTTGGATCATGGTTAATCATTATTATTATCATGATACAAAGGGCAGACGAACTATGATTAATTCAAGGATTAAATGATATTGTTGCGTTATTTACTGCTCTATTATTTTTGCATAGGAAATTAGAGTCGATGATATAGTAATGTGGACCTGCAATTCAAAATTTTCACTCGGACTCATAGAGCTTCCCACCCTTTTCCACATCATCTTTTGATGAATAGACAGACACGGTCAGCAGAAATTCGAAAAAAGTTACTAAAGGGAAAAGAAGCTAGTGCGATGAAAGATTTTCTTTTAAAAAGCAAAGCGGTAAATTGCATTTTTTTTTTCATTTGTATATAGAATTGACGTGTCTTTGCATACCAAAATTTGTTGACATAGACAGTAACTGTTTGCATATCTTAATTAAATAGTTTAGGGTCGGAGTGATTTTAAATATGAAATAGATCATGAAAGAAAAATACTCATCTTACTTACTCTCATGCTAACTAGAAAATAAAAAAAATAAAAAAACACTTTTTTACATTTTTTTTAAAATTTTAGGTAGTTATCTCTTTCATCTCTTCACGCCAATCCTCGTAGAGAGACAGTATTTTATTCCCAAAGTACCCAAAAAGCAACCCTCTGTCTGCTATCCTCTGTTAGCATTATTGGTTCTTTTTCAGCCTCTCTGCTTCCTGCAAACTGCAATCCCCTTTTGTCTTAATCTCATCATATCTCTCATTCCATCCACTAACCAAACCTTGTGTTGCCAAATAAAGGAAGCCAAACTCATTTATATTCCACACCGTTATGACTTATAATCCACACCCATTTGTACATACATGTTCACGTTTCGTTTACTCCATTTTGTGGTTTCTTGGATGCCTGAAACCATGTACCACAACAGTTCAATCATCAACTTTTAGTTTGTGAACAATTTTACAACTTTGGTCTAATATTTTCACCCGTCACCATTGGCTGAATATAACCATCTCTCTTGCTTTCTTAATTGAACTCTTTCTTTTCCAGGTTTTATTTTATCTAATATCTATATACTAGGCTAGATTCTTATCGAGATGTATGAAAGGTTTATATGATCAGGCAGTATCTCGAGATTATATATATCACATGCACCCTAAGGGCATAGGAGAAGAGAGAGAGAGAGAATAAGAAACAAAGAGAATATATATGCTAAACTAAATATCATTGGTGATGTGTGGAAGAAATTAAGAACATTGAATTAATTTGTAAATATATAGTTTCACGAGTTACACTTTCACCTTTTGAAAATACATTATTCATACTAGCTCTTGTGACGTTTTCCCATGCAAAATAGTAATTGATGAGAAGGTAAGATTAGACATAACTTTGACCAACTGTACATGAAAGAAGCATATGGGTCCTCACGTAGTCACCTTAATTTGACCCTTGCAAGATTCGAAGCATGATTCGTATGATAAGAAAAAATAATCATTATAAACTTTACTTTTAAGTTAATAATTTCGAAAAGAAAATGAAAGAAGATAACAAATCTTAAAAAGGACTAGGGCCTAGAGGGAGAGCTTGATCTTGGAAGTATTACATCGCGGGAATTCCCAGACTACGATCGATCTGCTCAAGAGTTTAAGGAAAAGGAAACAAAAGGAGAAAAAAAGTAAAATGGAATAGAAGTATAATATTTTTAATCTCTCATATTTAGAATAAATTTATTTTTTATCTCTTTAATTTAAAATTATTATTTTTAATTTTTTTAATTTTTAAAAATTTTGTTTTAATTTATTAAGTCATCAATAATATATATTTGAATAATTATATAATATCAGTTAAATTTAATATAATATTTTTACTAACAAATACATTAGTAAGTATATTTTATGTGATAGTATTTGATAAATTTTTTAATAAAATTTAAATATAAATATTAAAATAAGATTTTTCTTTTAAAATTTTAAATATTTTAAAAAAATTAATTTTAAATTTAAAAGATTAAAAATATATTTAAATCAATTCTAAGTGGATAACTTCCTTATTCTAAAAGAAGGGAGGGGGAAATCTGTTAATGAGGCCTATGAAACTAAGAAGTGTTTCGATTGGAAGTGCGTGGAATTGAAAGTACAAAAAAAAAATTGTAAAGCTTCAAAGTACGAATGAAATGATGAATAAAGTAGTATATAAAATTGGCAATGGGAATGTATAAGGTACTCAAATTTAAAAATTGAGTACCAAACACAGGTGGAATGTTAACCGGTATACGTAAATAAATGTATTTTATTGAACGGTCCAGATATTAGGGTAATAATAGGTTGTCTTATAATTTATGTAAAATTGTTAATTAATCATCCCCTTGTAAATAAAATAATGAGTACATTTTTGCAAAAAATACACCAGTTAATTTCCCTCTTTTATGATTGGTTTTCGCTAGCTATAGTTGATTTCAAAATAGGATCTGTGTTACTGCTGGAGTCAACATCCGAAAAAGAGTGCATCATATATATTCAAAAGCAAAACCAGCTGTGATGTTACTTAAACCAACTTTGGCATCTTAAGTATGGAAAACAAACACATCCACTAGCAAATTTTGATGTTGACGATAGATTTCAGAACATGTGGAACTTTTTGTAGTACTTAGTAAATTAGATGTTACAAAATATTCTATGTTACAAATATAAATGAGAATCTAGGATCTCATAATAATGAAGTCAAAGAAGATAAAGCATCCAATCAAGAGTGTTAGAAAATTTTGACAAGATTATGTCTCTCCACTTGGATTTTATAACCAAGCAAAACGTAACCTCTCTAAACAAATGCAACTCAATATTTCCTTAAAATGCCTCTAGTTTACCTTAATTAATTTCCACTTTAAAATGTCTCTCCCTATTTTATTTCTCAATGATTTGGAGCAGTTTATAATTGATTGAGGAACTATTCTAGAAAAATGTCTAGATATTGATCAGGCTTCGCTCACAGTATGGCGCTATCTCTCACAGCAAGTGTAATAATAGAGTTGATGTACTTATTTGAATGAAACATTTTTATTGCAACTTTTTTATACATGTAATTAATGGAAGAACTGAAAATCAATATTTGAAATTAAGTTAGTTAACTACAGTATATGTAGCAGGTCAGTTTTTAGTTGTGTACGTACACGGTATACAATTTTCAACTTGTGCACCCTTAAGCATTCTCCCCCTTTTTTATCCTCTCCAAATTCAATGTTACATATATTCGTTTTTCTTTATAATCTACTAGAGGAGACAATAATTATCAAAAGGATATATAAAGAAACAGTACCTCTGGAACGTTTAAACTTTTGAGGTTAACAATAGGGTTTCTTTTGCGGTCAAAGTCACAGATATATGTATCACATAGGTTATTACTACGTAAAAGGCTAATTTATCGAATATATATATATCTAGCTAACTGATACCTGTGACGACTCTTGTTTACTATCATATCATCACAAGATTGGAGTATATATATATATAAGACATATCGTGATAGTAAAAAATACTTTATTTACATTTTAATTATCATTTTTATTATGAACGGTTAATAAAATTATAATACAAAAATTCTGTAATTATCACTTTCATGTGACTTGTAATATTTGATTTTGACTGTATGATGATGATATTTGTCTAGCTATCTCCCTTTCATATAAAAGTATATATTTTAAAATACAAGTAAATATATTGATGATAAAGTTATATATTTAATTATGTATGACATGAATGAACCACGAGATATGATTTGTTAAATCAATGTTATATAAAATATATATCATAGTAAGTGTGATTAAGTTTTTCCACTTTTATCGGGGGGGTGGGGGATGGGGGGCACCTGTGTTCTCTGAGCTCTTTTCTTTGTTCCGATTAAAGACAAAGCAGCACTAAGTAGGTAATAATGAACTAGCAAGTCTCACTGATCATTTTGGGGTCATCAATGGCCATCCCTTTAACAAAACAAAAAGGATGGTTTTGATTGAAAGGGAGTGCTCAAATCATTGGAACATTATATTTTAAAGCTTCAAAAGTGAGAGAGACAATACGATATCTCCGCTTGCAAGAAAAGGATCCCTTTATGGATTAATTGCGAATGTGAAGTTTACTCATCCATCGTCATAGAAAATGAATGCTCCTACTCATTCGAATGATTTGGTTTGCATGTTCACTAACATATTTTCAACAAAGCCTGAAAATAATTAAACCAAGGGTTCATTAACTTAGACAGATTAGGCCCAC